CTTAATATTATTGATATATTTGTATTTAGAGATAGTCTTATGTCTTAAATAAATAGCAATCTGTAATTCAGTGAATCTCAATGTAACATATAATAAGTTACATGAAATGTGTGACTCTTATTGGTTTGCAAACATAGTGTCAAACAGTGAGCATCTTTTGACCGTTAATTTCCTTATACGGTATGATGTGATCAAAATGAACGACACAATGAGACTCACTGTTTGTCTGTTTGTCACTCAATTTGCGGTTAATAAGAGATTTCAACTTTCAAATTGTGAATTTCAACTTAAGTAAGACTTTGAGATTCAATACTTGAATACACAATATTTCAAAATGTATTTTGACCAATGTGCATTATTTTGAAATCCTTTTATAATAATAGCAAATAGTTTGCAAGTAATGGACAAATTTAGGATATTATGTGATATTATAATGACGTTTCCCATGCCAGCGATGACCACCTTTTTTACAGTGAGTGGTTTGCTTCAAGCAAATGGACAGTTAGGCCGCCATTCGCATGGAATGGGCAGCACTTCAGCCGTAAATGATTTGTTTCCGATCCGCAAAATCTTTCGTCGATTCGTACGCCTAATGCCATCCGTCGGCGCTGTCATTGCCTTTACCATCCTTTTAGAGGTGTTGGGGTCGGGGCCCGAGTGGCGACAGTATATCAATATTAATTCTGGAACTTGTCATGACAATTGGTGGGCAACCATGCTCAATTTAAAACCGTTTGATGGAATGCGCACTGTATAATTAATTTCCATGTCATTTATAACCTAGTTACTGATTGATTAACTTAATTGTCTATTATATCCGTAGTGTCTTATAGTAACATGGTCATCACGAGTCGAATGGCAACTTATCCTAATTTCACCTTTATTATTAGTATTTTTGACTGCTAAACATGTCAAGTACAATTAAATATATTGTTTACTTTTCATGCTAACTATTGAATGGATCAGAATTTGTGGTTATATTATATTTTCATTTTTCAAAATATATAGAAAACAAATTTTCGGTATTGGAATAAATTCGTTGATAATTATATTAAGCATGGTCCCAATTGGTGTACTATATGTGCAGACTAATGCCAGAATAACAGTAAATCGTATGTAAGAGTATAAAAACATTTACTTTAAAATTTCATATATAATACCTGGGACAAATTATTTGATGTGCGGGAAATGGATTTAGATTGGAAATGGATTAGAAAATGAACGGATACTCCAATACCAAATCCGTCCACTGTTTTATAGCCACTACAATCGGATTCTGATGATATTCAATATCCCATATGAATTCACCAAGGTAACTTCGCAATTTAGATTTTACAAAAGATGTTTGTTCTCATAGTAATTATTATACATATGGTTTGTGACAACTTTTAAAAAATTAGATGAATATGAAAAAATAATTATATCTTGCTTATTTCTTATGCGATTTTTTAAATTCAAAAAATAATTCTACTTAAAATTAATTTATAAATCGCATAAAAACTAAGCAAGATACAATTATTTTTCATATTCATCTAGCTTTTGAAAGTTGTCGCAAACCTCATGTAATTTCTATGTAAAAAACATCTTTTTGTGAAATCTAAATTGCCAAGTTACCTTGGTGAATTCATATCATAGAAGCCGATTTGTTATGATTATTATTGCTATAAAAAGTGATGACGGATTTGTGATTGGATTATCCGTTCCCAAAGTAAACCCATTTCCCGCCAATCAAATAGTCAGTTCCGGGTTTAAACTGTATGTCATACTATTGTTAGTAATATCGGTATATTTGTAGATTTTTGGACAAAATTTACATGAACACTATCGCATATGTGGGACCTTATTGTATCGGGATACTATTGGGGTATTATTACCACAAATACCCGAATAAGCGTTATGCAAAATATGTATAAATTATTAAGTTCATTACAAACAATTTGACCATTTAATAATTTTTTAGAAATGCAGTTCACTTTTATGGAGACTATGTATCATAATAATGACCCTGATAATACTAACCAGGCATTTGTATGAAAACAAATCCTTGCCATCGGATAATATGTTGACCGCATTGTATACATCAATCCATTGCATACTATGGTCTATATGTATGGCGTATATAATATACACGTGTGGGACGGGTGGGGCACCGGTGCTCAATGGTATACTGTCGTGGAAGGGATGGCAACCTATTAGTAAACTCACTTACCAGGCTTGTCTCATTCATGTAACTGTTCAGAATTATATGTTTTACACAACCAGACAAACAGTTTACTTAACAGTGGGGACAGCAGTAAGTGATTTATTAAAATTGATTAGTATTTTAAACTCAAGTAATAGTGTTTTTAAATCTAATGAATTTACATCAATATTATTCAGTTATTGGAGTACATATCCGGGGTGATTATTACATTCATCATCAGTTATTTCAGTTATATTTTAATTGAGATTCCATTCATTCAAATGGCAAACGAATTATTAAACTAATTAAATATTTAATTTTAAATATGCTAAGTTTCATATATTTGGGGGTATTGGTGAAAATAATAAAATTATTTTGAATAATTGCATTTTTATTAAGTAAAATATTAAAAAGAAAATCGCATATATTTATCAAATGTTTGGTCAAATTAATGTTTATTTTGTGGTCAGGCCTGTTTTTAAAATTATTGGCAGCTCGATATTCAGACATGCCTCAGATCATAACGGGGCAGGGTATGAATTCTGTGTTCTTCGGGACCCTAGTCCAAATGATACATGTTCAAATTATGGGTTCTCTAATAATTTAGATATTCAGTAACCTATTTCATATTAATGTAATATGATATAGAATCAATTAAAAGGTACAATGAACATTCATCAAGTGCTTAGTAATTATAAGCAAAAGCTTTTCAATCGCAGTTTAATCATTCAAAGTAATATATTTGTAATGTTTGAGCAAGATATATATAATAGGATTTTATCCTGATTAAATTATTAAATTGTAACTCTAATTTTATCTCTATATATTGAATATAAAAATACTCAGGACTAAATTCTCAATTGTTTTTGTAAGTTTAATTTTCAAACCAGCTCAGTTTTGATATTTTAGTTATAAAGAGAGTTATAAATACTGAGATTAATCAGAAATTTGACACTTTTCTATATAGGGTTTCATGTATGTATGTAAAATGTGCTCATCAATTCTACATGTATTATACATTTAATGTATGGCTATCCACCCTACAGTAGTAAACGGATAATAAAGGTGTGATATTTGATTGAAAGTAAAACAATTTGATTGTGGATTATTAAAATAATATTTCCTTGATGCATTATTCTGGATTTACAAATAAAGGGTTACCCGGATTACATATTTAAAATGAAATACTATATAATTATAGGACATTTAATCTATCATTTCAGTGAACTTATTGTACAGCGTGTTTCACCATAAGGTACCACGTTTGCAAGCTTGTATCTCAAAAACTATATGATATATCATATTACTGTAAAGTAGGTTTATAAGGGTAAGGTATAGCATTTTTAAATCTACATTGATCAAATTTTTGTTCCATTAAAAAATATATAAATGGACACTCTCGCAGAGTATAGTTTCAAGTTGAGCAAAAGGAGATAGTTAATCTTGATGACATTACAATCTTGAAGAGAAAAGTATGGACTTTCATATGTGACATCGTATGCTAAAATTGGACTTGTGGTTATCTCACAAATAACCCCTGAATATAAGGAATTTTTGCTAATGTCTATGGAAAATTCAATGGTAAAATCTTCAAACATAAATTTATGCTTACTACCAGATTCTCACTTCGGGAAATAGATATTGATAATTTTGATATTACAGTATTTTTCTATATGATATTACTAACAATTTGCAATAATAAAAGAATCCGAATGGCCACAATTAGTATGTTTTATTTAACAATGATTAGCATCGGACATAAGAATTTGCCCATATTTTAACATTATGCTCTGACTTACACTTTATAAACTTTTCAACTCATAATCACAGTGATTAACTTGTATGCATATGTTAAAATATGGGCAAATTCTTATGTCCGATGCTAATCATTGTTAAATAAAACATACTAATTGTGGTCATTCGGATTCTTTTATTATTGCAAATTGTTAGTAATATCATATAGAAAAATACTGTAATATCAAAATTATCAATATCTATTTCCCGAAATGAGAATCTGGTAGTTAGTGGTAGTAGTTAGCTAAGCATAATAAATTGCAAAAATCAAGAGGGTAATATAAGCTTTAAGATGAGGTATATATCACTAATATGTGATATACATTTCTTGATATATAGATTAAAACTTAAAATATTTACTTTGCAATATATTTATATGGATAAAATAGAAAAAATACGATTTAAAGTAAAATTACTATAAATCAAGAAACATATTTCCCAATTTAATTATATATACCTCATTTTAAAGCTTATATTACCCTCTTGATTTTTGCAATTTATTATGCTTAGCTAACTACTACCACTAAACATAAATTTATATTTGAAGATTTTACCATTGAATTTTCCTTTCTGGTAGTACCAGTGCGAACTCTAGGTTCTTAGGCTCGCGGACACTGAAAAATAGGTGATCCCGCACCTTTTTGCACTGGTAATGCCATTTTTGGGTTAAATCTTTAAAAATAGTAATGCTGCTATATTTAATAAAATAGTGCGAATGGTTTAATATTGTGTGCGTTGAACACGACTTATGGTTAGGCGCGTGAAACGTGTGCTACCTGTGCTACCTGTGATTACAATACCTGTACGCGGATACGACGACCCGAAGGTTGCGAAGATTAAGGGGGTTTTAGGTGTAGAAATGGGTTTATAACAGATATAAAGCATACAATAATTTATTAGAAGACTGTAAGTAATGGTTACATAACTATAGAAATTCTATGTCTAATACAGGGTTTATGGCTTTATTGGACTCCGACACTGAGTCCAACTCTGAGGCTACGCTCAGACACCACTGGGAAGAGAGTGAGAGTTGGGCTGTAGGGGCTATTTATGACCTACGATTGAGTGGGAGGTATAATGCATTCCAAGGGGATTATAGTCGACCACTACTGGGCGACCGTTAGGAATGCCTAACATTGTATGTACTGCAGTGTCAATGCAGTGAAGTCAACAGTAAGTTATAGCTAAATAAGCTATAATACTGCAATATGCATTGTATTTATGTTTTTATTAGTGGTTACGGATAACTATGGATGACAAACAATTTTATATTAGTTTCTATGCGACACTAATTGGTTATTATAGACTACTCCTACTGGTGTGCAAAGCAGGATCAGCACAGGATTGAAATCTTGCGTTGCAGGGCAGGGCAGGGCAGGGTAGGACAGGATTTCATATGAAAAAATTGTAATTTAACATAATAACATAATTGTGAGGATTACATCATTTGAAGGCCTATTTATCAGACAGTAAATCAAAACAAGAATAACTCGATTTGAAACCATATTCAATAAATTATAACCAAAAAACAACAGCTCCTCCGCCATAGAGTTGTGACACAATGCAAAATCCCATTATAAGAATGTATGGAAATGTATGGGTAGTTGTGTTTTGTTGCTCTCGCAATGCTATTCAATGGGAAAACTTAAATATTTTGGTCACAACCCAATCGCGAAGTCGGATGAACTCGCACTTTAAATAGCAAGGTCATTTTCATTCTTATTCAACGTTTAGAACACTAAAATTTTGCTAGTTTAGTCAGTTTACAGTTTAGTTTGGTTTGTCGATTCATTCAAAATTGTTTTTTAATTTCTAGGCTATCGGTGCCCTCAATACCTGTTGCCAACCATTTTCTTGCAACCGATTGGTTGTCTGGTTTTTTATTTTTAATTTTTGATTATATGAGGTTTTCCAGAAAGTTTTGCGAGGTAAATTTTGAAGCTTAAAAATCAATATTTCAATAACCAATAGTGGTATCAA